ATCTTTCTGACCACAAGGCTATAAGGCTAGAAATCAACTACAAGAAAAACACTGCAAAAACTTAAACACGTGGAGGCTAAATAATATGCTACTAAACAACTAGTGGCTCACTGCAGAAATCAGAGAAGACACCAGAAAATACTTTGAGACAAATGAAAATGAAAATACAACAATCCAAAACCTCTGGGACACAGCAAAAGCAGTTCTCAGAGGGAAGTTTATAGCGATACAAGTTTACCTCAGGAAACAAGAAAAATCTCAAGTAAACATCCTAATCTTATACCTAAAGTAGCTGCAAAAGGAAGAACAAACAAACCCCAGAGTTAGTAGAAGAAAAGAAATCATAAGGATTAGAGCAGAAATAAATGAAACAGAGACTAAAAACCAAAACAACAGAAACTAAAAGTTGGTTCTTTGAAAAGCTAAACTAATAAACCTTTAGTCAGACTCTTTAAGGAAAAAAGGGAGGGGGCCCAAATTAATAAAATCAGAAATGAAAAAGGAGAAGTTACAACCAATTCCACAGAAATATAAGGGATCACAAGAGGCTACTATGAGGAGCTAGACGCCAACAAAAAGGACAACACAGAAGAAATGGACAATGTCTTAGAAAGGTACAATTCACCAAGACTGAACCCAGAAGAAATGGACAGTATGAACAGACCAATTACCAGCACTGAAATTGAATCAGTAATTAAAAACCTCCCAACAAACAAAAGTCCAGGACCAGGTGGCTTCATGGTGGATTCTACCAAACATTTAGAGATGAGTTAACACCTGTCCTTCTGAAATTATTCCAAAAAATTGCAGAGGAAGTAACACTTCCAAACTCACTCTATGAGGCCATCATCACCCTGATAAGCAAAAACAGACAAAGATATAACACACAAAAAAAATTACTGGCCAATACTACTCATGAATATACATGTAAAAATCCTCAACAAAATACTAGCAAACTGACTACAACACATTAAAGGATCACACACCATGATCAAGTGGGACTTATCCCAGGGATGCAGGGATTTGTCAATATCCACAAATCAATCAGCGTGATACACCACAGTAACAAGTTGAAGGATAAAAACCATATGATCAACTCAACAGATGCAGAAAAAGCTTTTGACAAAATTCAACATCCATTTCTGATAAAATCTCTCCAGAAAGTGGACACAGACGGAACATACCTCAACATAATAAAGGCCACATATGACAAACCCACAGCTAACATTATGCTTAACGGGGAAGAGCTGAAAGCACTTCCTCTAATATCAGGAACAAGACAAGGATGCCCACTCTTGCCGCTTTATTCAATATAATTTTGAAAGTCCTAGCCACAGCAATCAGAGAAGAAAAAGAGATAAAAGGAATCCAAATTGGAAAGGAAGAAGGAAAATTGTCACTGTTTGCAGATGACAGGATACGATACACAGAAAACCCTAAAGAAGCAGCCAGAAAACTACTAGAATTTATCAATGAATTTGGTAAAGTTGCAGGATACATAATTAATATACAAAAATCAGTTACATTTGTATACACTAACAATGAAACAGCAAAAAGGGAAATTAAGGAAATGATACCATTAACCAATGCACCAAAAAGAATAACATACCTAGGAATAAAACTACCCAAGGAGGCAAAAGTCCTGTACTCTGTAAACTGTAAGACACTGATGAAGGAAAGGGAAGATGACATAAGCAAATGGAATGATATACTGTGTTCTTGGATTGGAAGAATCAATATTGTTAAAATGGCCATAGTACACAAGGCAATATACAGATTCAATGCAGTCCCTATCAAATTACCAAAGACATTCTTCACAGAGCTGAAACAAAAAATGTTAAAATCTGTATGGAAACACAAAAGATCCCAAATAGCCAAAACAATCTTGAAAAAGAACAGAGCTGGGGGAATCATGCTCCCTGACTTCAGACTATACTACAAAGCTACAGTAATCAAAACAGCATGGCACTGCCACAAAAACAGACACAGATCAATGGAACAGGATAGAAAGTCCAGAAATAAATTCACACACTTATGGTCAATTAATCTACAACAAAAGAGGCAAAAATATACAATTGAGAAAAGACAGTCTCTTCAACAAGTGGTGCTGGGAAACTGGACAGCTACTGTGAAAAACTGCAATTAGAACGTTCTCTAACATGATATACAAATATAAACTCAAAATGGATTAAAGACTTAAATGTAAGACCAGATACTGTAAGACTTCTAGAGGAAAACACAGGCAAAACACTCTCAGACATAAATCACAGCAATATATTTTTGAACCAGCTTATGGAAACAAAAGCAAAACTTAACAAATAGGATCTAATTAAACTTAAAACCTTTTGCACAGCTAAGGATACCATCAACAAAATGAAAAGACAATCTATCAAATGGGAGAAAATATTTGCAAATGAAGCGACCAACAAGGGACTAACTTCCATAATAAACAGCTCATACATCTTAGTATCAAAAAAGCAAGCAGCCCAGTCAAAAAGTGGGCAGAAGACCTAAGGAAGCAATTCTCCAATGAAGACATACAAATGGCCAACAGGCACATGAGAAAATGCTCAGCATCACTAATTGTCAGAAAAATGGAGATCAAAACTACAATGAGGTATCACCTCATACCATCCAGAGTGACATCATTAAAAAGTCTACAAATGATAAATGCTAGAGAGTGTGTGGAGAAAAGGGAACCCTCCTACACTGCTGATGGGAATGTAGTTTGGTGTAGCCACTATGGAGGACAGTATGGAGGTTCCTTAAAAAACTAAAAAAAAGACTTACTATGTGATTCAGCAATCACACTCCTGGGCATATAAATGGAGAAAAATATAATTCCAAAAGACACATGCACCCCAATGTTCATAGCAGCACTATTTACAATGATGAAGGCATGGAAACAACTCAAATGTGCATCAATGGATGACTGGTTAAAAAAGATGTGGTATATATATATGCAATGGAATACTACTCAGGCATAAAAAAGAATAAAATAATGCCATTTGAAGCAACACGCATGGACCCGGAAATCATCATTCTAAGTGAAGTGGGCCGGAAAGAGAAAGAAAAATGCTATATGACATCACTTATATGTGGAATCTAAAAAAAAAAAAGAACTACTTATTATTTATAACTTAGATGATTGATTTCTTAAATATGTGTAAGCACACTTGACTGTCCTTTATGATTGGATTACTGTATTGTTGATTCTTATTTTGTGGTTGGCTTTATTCCTTTGATAATTAAAAAGCTAAAACTCTAAACTGTTCTCAGAAACAGTGAACAGCACAGATATGCAAACTAAAAAAATACATGCAGTATATTGTATAACTGTATTTACATACAATATATTGTATATGTGCAGTCAAATTGTAACAACTCTACCTAATAAAACTGAAAAATGAAGTGATTAGTAACCTGCAGAATCTGCTCATTGTCACTAGAAAGCAGCACTTCTGTGTGTCATTACTAAAAGTGATTATGTTAGATCAGAAGGGAAAAAGTGACAGATCATGTATATTTCAAATACCTCATAGCAAAGATGAACACTTTTTCCCAAATAGGAAAAGACAGAACTTACAGGAGTCTGTGCCTATAAAGACACATAAAAAATGTGTTTAAAAACAAGTTTCAAAGACACATGGTCTCTCACATGCCTTGATGCAAGTGTGCAGTCCGAGGAAACAGTCTCTCCAAGATGGAGCCCGAATCTCACGGCACCTCTAGAGCTACGAACTGACCTGCAGGAAGCCCAGGGCAGGGAGCCGGCAGCTCGCCACCAGGGAGCCAAGTCAGGAAGATGCAAACTACAAAATCTCGACAGAGAAACAATTTAGTTTTTTCACCAAATAAACTGCAAAGAAAAAAGACCAGATAGTAGAGGAAAGCTACACATTAAAGGCACTTCACTGAGGGCAACGTGTGGGCCTCATGAGGATTCTGATCGGAACAAACATGCAACAGATTTTCCTAAATGAGGTGACTAGGGAAATCTGAGCACTGACTCGATGACTGATGATATCAAAGAATTTACTTTTTCTTTTTTAAAGGTCAGCATGGTACTGTGTTGATTTTTTAAAAAACAGTCTTATCTTTTAAAGCTACATACTGAAATATTTATGAATGAAATGATACATCTAGGTATCTGCTATATAATTATTAAAAAAAAAGCCACTGTGTTGTCCAACATTTTTTTAAATTTCTTTTTATATACTTTTATTTATTTATTTTTATTGCAGGGGGTAATTTAGGTTGATTTACTTATTTTTAGAGGAGGTACTGGGGACTGAACCCAGGACCTTCTGTGTGCTAAGCATGTGCTCCTCCACCTGAGCTATGCCCTCCCCCTTGCCCAACAGTAACACAGGAAAATAAGCTGAAAATCTTTCTATCATATATTACTTAAACTTCACCTTCCTGGTCAAAAAGTGGCAAGCTGCCTCAAGAATCCAGTGTTGAGCACTTGAGAGAGATCTGAGAGAGCAAGCACTCTCAACTGTACACAAACAGGTGGTGTGCACACACAGCACATATTTGTACAGGCACTGCACATGCACACACGGCACACACACAGCATACACATACAGGTGCTGCATACATGTGCACACACAGCACACATACCACACACGCATACATGTGCATATGTCACACACCCACAGCCCCCACACATGCCAGACCCCACGTGTGCATATGTGTGTGCATGTGGCATGTACACAGCACATATGCACACACATACACACACGTACAACAGGCAGAGGTGGCTGCCAGGACTACTGTGTGCACAGGAAGGCTGTGCGTCTGCATGACACAGAATGCTAGGACTCAGATGGGTGCTGCCCTTTCTCTCCTTCTCCAGCCACAGGTAGCTGAGAAATTCAGATGCATAGCCTAGCAGTTCCTTGTAGGTGAGAGGCAAGCATAAACCAGTGGAGAGTTGTTTTCAGGCAGGAAAGAGAAATGAGTCACCTGGAGGTGGCAACACGAATGCATGTTACCTGTCTCAGTTCCTGGGCGTCCCCGTCAGAAATTAACAGCTCGCTCGTCTGTAGCTGAAGTGGCCTGCCTTCCTGGCTCCCTGAGGAGGGCTCGCTGTGCAAGGCATGGTCCGTCGGTCCAGATGCTGAAATGGAAAGTCAAACAGCAGTGGCATCTTCCAGAAGGTGTGAACAACGCAAGAGCATTCAGAACTTTACAAAAAGTGGTGTTTAAGACCGTCAGAGCTCTTCGGGTTGACGAAGTGTTTTCATAGGCATCTGCTGGTTTTGTGCCTCTGCCCTTGCTGGGGCAGTGGGTGTGGTGGTCTGCCCCCCCAGCCTCTGCCAAGCTGACTGTGTGTGAAACCTGCCTGAACTTTGCCTTCTACCCTAATCCAGGGCTGCTTCCTTACCCCACACTGATCAGAGGGCGCGACACTGTAAATATTCAGGGTCTAGTTCCATAACTGAATTTTAGAAGAAAGGTCCTTTATCCATGAGTCTTTTTTTTTTCTGGAGAAGATTACAGATTTGGAGTATGAAACAATACTTGTTGAACCCTGGTGAAGTGTACATGAAATACACTACTAGGAACTGTACTGCCATCTGATTGTCCCACGAAACACTGTGGTTCTAGAGAGCACGGAAATGGACGGGTCGAGCAAAACTGAATGTGGAGTGTGCTGAGGTTGGGGTGAGCCAGAGAACTGGATGTGGCTAGGCACTGCTCAGGGGTGTTTTTGCTCACACACCAGCTCCTAGGGAATCTCGCTAAGGAGCGGAAGGGCAGCTTGGCGAGAAATGGTGATAATCATTTATTTAAAGAGCTGCCTCCAACTGCAGCTCTGGTACTTTGGGGCACAGAGAAGAGCACAGATTAGTCTGTTGCCTCTTCTCCATAATACGGGCCACCTCAGGTATGTCGTATGGCTATGTTTATTCATCAGGACACTGGGAAGCAGCAAGGACACTGGGCTGAGAACTAGCAGTCTGGATTTCTGCACCAAGTCTTTTCAGCAGCCTTCTCTGCATCAACAAAATTGGGGGGAGCAAAGGCGGGACCCCCACTTCCTTCCTAGGACCCTAGCAGTGGTAGGTAGAGCTGCCTTTCATCAGAACAGCCTGGAGCAGCTGATAAACACACTGTGAGGAAAGGAAATCCATTTCAGCGTAAAGTCCTCGCTGGGCCTGAAAAGCAGAAGCCCAGGTGGTGCCTCCAGGACGTGCCAACCGCGCAAGTTCGCCCTTCCCGGGGAGAGACCAGCCACCTCCAACGTGCACACAAACATCCCCTTGATTCTTACTTCTTAAAGAAATTCTTACAAATTAACACTTCCTGAGAGTGCCTGGCTGAGCAAAGAAGGCCTGGCCTCACCTCGGATAAACGCAGGCTGGAATGAGGACAAGAAAGCACGTTTCTCGCGATCCTAGAGAGAAGAAGGGCCTAATAAGCCAGACAGAGTAAGTTCAGGAACCAGCTGATGTAAAGCCAAACCTGCATGGAGGCAAGCCCCCAGGGTCCCACACCTGCGGGCCGAACCCTCCCCGGGCCCATCTCCCCAGGGAAGGAGGCCCTATGTGAGAGCCTTCACATTCTGTAACAGTGTGCCACCGTGAGGAGACGACACAGGACAGTGGCATCCTCACGTGCACCTCGGAGGGCTGAAGACGTCTCTTAAGACAGAACCCTTAGCACACGCCACGCACTCACACGTGCTTTCCCGTGCTGTTCTTTACGTAAGAGCTGCTTGTCTGTACCCCAGAAACTGACACACATTGTAAACTGACTATAACTCAAAAAATAAAATAAAATTCTAAGCTCAAGAAAAAAAAGCCGGTTGTAATCAACCAAATTGTTTTCACAACCTGTGTTCTAGAATCTCCAAAGCGCCACCCTCCTCCAACACGCTTATTAATTAGCACAGAATTCTCCATCGCACACCGCTCATTGCTGCTTTGTCTTCCATGATCTAAAAATGTCACTCAGATGGTGCGTAATGAAAAGCACTCTTCCAAAACAGCAACAGAACACTCAGCATCAGAGCTGCGCTGGACAACGTGATGGCTGGAATAGAGCCTGCGTTCTACCAGTTATTATTAGCCTACAGGAAAGGCCAGCTCAGCACACGACGTGAAAATGTTACTAGTGATGTGATGGCGAATTACACTTCGCTCGTCTACGGCAACGGTGGTTCTATGGCCTGCTGGGTGAGAGCAAACCCCTCCCTCAGCCTGTGCCCCCTTCCTAACTCTGCTCCCTGACCCTGCAGACTCCTGTTCCAGCCCCTCTGCCCGCCCTGCACCCGCCCGGTACGTGTCGTGCAGACAGATGTCCCCCAGCTCGAGTATGGAGGAGGCAAGTTCTCTTCTCAGCCCTTCCATCAGCAGCAATTTTCCCTCATCTGACCTGGTACCATTCAGTCTGCACACCTTTGACAGCAACGTGTGTGGCACTGCACTGCTTTTTTTCTTCCCGTATCTTTTCAACCTAGGATCCCCAGCTAGCTTCTCTGAGAGCAAGGCACGTGTCTGATTCACACTGCGCTCCTGTTCTCTCACTGCGGTGTCCATTTTAACACCTATTATTACAGAGACATACTGTCTCTGAATGTTTAACAAAAGGGATTGCTTGAACAACCAGAAAGCCAAAATTGAGGATTTTTCTTCCTGGAATACACTAATCAGGGATGTTTTACGCAATGAGCCATGGGATCAGCAGGTTCCTGGCGAGGCTTGGCCACTCCCAGGCCTCTGTGCTGAGACCTGAGTGGCTGACTCAGTTACTTCTTCAGTGCTTTGAAATATCTTCCGAAACAAATTAACTTGGCTCAGTATTAGGTGATTTTTATCTCAAAAGTCATTAGTTACCTCAGTGAAACAAAATAAGCACAAACTGCTCAAGCCACATGGGAACTTAGAGATGATGCCACTTTCCAATAACAAGGAGGCATCTGGGGGAAACCTGAGCGCGGGCTGGGTTGGCAGGGCCGGCGCCAGGACACCAGTCTCCCTTACGCATCAGACACAGACTCCAGACTTCACCGTAAGTGCTGTGCAAAGACCACCAGGGCCTGACCTGAGAGCAGAAAAACCGCTCCAAGCAGGTCCAGCCATGGGCAAAGCTCTCTCCTTGTCTCTGGGCCCCAAACGCCCCACTGATGACACAGGAAAATGGCAGCTTTACCCAGGGATGGACCCAGAAGCTTATATAACCAGGGTGGAAGCCCCTTCAGAAAAAAACTCAAAATGCCCCAAGTCCTCAACACAACAGGAAGTATAAGAGAGAGAAAGCTGAAACGGGGAGAGACAGCAATCTCCACTGACTACTCTTTAAAAAACTTAACTCCACAAATTTACAAAATTATATGGTGTGCGGCTTAGACTCACGGGGCCTTGGGAGGATCAAGCGGATGGGGGCCACGCAGCTCCCAGGGGTCTGTCGATCGTCAGGGGTCACATCCTAGTGCCCACATGGGGCCTGTCTGTAGTCAGTGAGTCAGTGCAATGGTGCGTCCTGGTGACCACACGGAGGGGTCTGA